TGGGTACAGTAAGAATTGTTATGAACAAGAAATACTAAAGCTATATATTGCTTGAGCTTACGATCGAATATTTGAAGCCCTTTGCCGGAGAATATTTTGGAAAAAAAGCTGTCAATAAGTTATATTGTACTTGTAGTTTAATTTAAGACATTCAGCTTGAATGAGTAGCGTGCATTTTAACTTTATTCTCTTTATTTGAAAAGTAATGAAAATTTCCATATCATATTGCCTAAAAAATTTCGATGCTATTCACAATTCAAGTCACTGTATGTCATAAACAATTTATCAATGTCTGTTTAAATAACAGACCATTCGTTGGTTTCTTTGTATAAAAGCAACAATATGGACAGAAGTTTATTCTTGATGAGAACAAGGATACATTTATGTGTGTAATTCCCATAATTTAAACTTTTTTTTTGTTTGTATCTCTAACACTAAAGTTTTTATTTAAATTTATTACTCCAGTACTAAAAGTAAAACTAATAGATCAAAACTCTTTGATCCAGTAATACTAGCATCCAAAAACAGTATTGCTTAGCTCATAACTACTGGTTTATACTACTTGTTAAAGTGTTCTGTTGTCGTGTCTTATTCAGCAATGAGTTTTACATGTTTTGAAATTTCACTTAAATTTACTAAAACAATTATATCTCAAAATATTTAAAAGAACAGTGTACATAAACCTGGGTGTTTTAGGCATAAAGTTAAGATTATGCGTCTCCAGAAATAGATTAAAAATTAGTTTTCTTTAGCTTCAGTTTGTTTATTTTAATATTGGAGGTCGTGTGTGTTTTTTCTACTGTTAGACATCCTTTTAGTCTTAATTTTTCTCCTATTCCAAAGTCAGATGTAGGTTGGAAACACACTCAGCCAGAAATAACCCAGACAAAGACTCACCAGGCCAAAACACACTTGAAGTATTATATAGTGTCGCTCTTGTAATTATAATACAATAATATGCTTTGAAAATTATGTTTTATGATGATAATTCTAAAATACAGTCTAATAAGAAGCATTAAATTGAGTTTATTTTAGTATCAGGATCATCATAACTGATATTAATATTTACATGAAATTAATACAGTGATAATATTTCTTAATGTCACTGAATATCAATAATGTTAATTTTACTGTGTCCAAATAGCATGACCTAATTCCAAAACTACATTTTGGAAATTTCATAAGCAAATAAATTATAAAAATGTCAAATCAAATTATTCAGCTTGTTTCCAGTACAACCTATATGTGAATTATTTTGTATAAAAACTATATATTATTTAAATCCTGTTTATTAAGTTTTGTGTAATTTGTTTTTTTCACCATATTACATGGAGATTGTGAGAAGATATTAATGGCAAATGTACAACTTTAACTAGCGAGTTTTATTACAGGTTGTTTTTGTTCATTGTGTTTCTAAGTATAATTTTTCAAAATCACTGAGAATATGTTTCCTGTTGCTTAAGGCTGACTTCCTTTTAGTCCTTTTTTTTTGCAGATAAAAAGAGTCATCTGTGTTGAAAGATAGTGGGTGAAACTTGATAACCTTTTGGCTGTTGTTTATTTTCCAGTTTATGCTATACATTCTGATTTTTCTTTTATATTAAATGTTGTTATAACTGAAATTAGTCTTATAGTTAGATCACAATGTACTTGCTTTATGATCTAATAAAATGCTTAAAATTTGTAGTTTGACAATTTTGATGACTGTTTGATAGTGAATTATGGCAGTGTTTAATACTTCAGTGAGGAATAGTTAAATTATTCTCTGTTTAAAAGTTAATAAATAGAAAAAATATTTAATGGAGTTATTATACTGGTAATTGTTTGCAACACTTTCTTGTATAGAGCCAGTGAAATGTCAAATGCTAAAGGTTAAATGACTTCTTAGACTGTGATGTACCTTATAATGGTCAAGATTAGGACTTGATCCTTGGTATATCAGTTTCTAAGAGTATTTACTTCAGAACACTCATGAGCTGAGAGTCCCAGGCCCAAACCCCATCAGGACAGGGGATTTCTTAACAGTATTATATTATATTGGTGCTTTTTAAGGGTATTTCACCTCTATCTCATTGTGTACATGCTTTGCATAACAGTTGGCCTGATATTCTGTGTGTGATACCACTACCAGCATGGAGTTGCTATGTTGTGTTAGCACTACTCAGAAGGGGCATTTGACTATATGTACCCCAAAATACAAACTATTATTTGATAAAAAATACAGAAGTGGATCAGAAAAAAGTTTTAATAAAAAATATATATTATGAATCATATAAGATAGGGCCACCTAAAATATAATATTTTTAAAACTATATTGACAATTGGCATTTGATGAGTTGCTAGCTTGGAGGTATATTTTCCTTGAATTTTATGAACTTACCTTTGTTTTCATGTGAATGGGATAGTCTCATTGAACCAATAGACCCCTTGTTGTCCTTAAATGTTAAGTTATGATAATAATAACTCAGTCAAAGAGTAAACTAATCTTTTTACATTTTTCCTGAGCCTCCTCTAACCTCTGTGTGGCCATGTGTTTGTTAGCAGTTAAAAGATGCCAGATTATTTTCCAAAGCCCTAATTAGGCGTAATACATCTTGTTAAATATCCTCCCTCACCCCAACTCAAACATTGGATACTAATATAATGTATCAGGTTGTTAAGAAGTAGTTTACGTGTGAAACTTTACCCTGGGATCTTCATCTGACACTAGTGTCAGTACCCTTACAAATTATTATAATATTTCAAGTATTCAGAACTATAGATCTGGCTATAACATTATTTCTGGTTTACATGTATGTATGTGTTTCATAAGAAATTAATGACCAGTTTATTTAATGAAACTTGGAAATTATTAGAAATATTTTAGTCTGTAGGAAAAGAGTTTGTACCAAGTAATCCTTGTTTGTCATCAGATATTAGCATTTTAGGGAATTATAAAATGAAATTAAGAGGAAACTTTGTGGTTTATAAGCAGTTATTTTTGAAATGGCATTTTAAACTATGTATTACTACTGTGTTACAAGTTCATGATTAGTACAGTCTATAATATGTTGATACTTTATTTTACACCATCAGCTGATGTTTTGGAAAACTATACCCAATTCTGTGCATAGAGATATTTTAGATAATACAGGAATTGAAAGATATATATTTTTAAATATTCACTGGTATTTAGGTTTCTACTTAGACCTAAAAATGACTGAAAAAATATTCAAAACATCACAAATATTTTATTTTTGCCAAGTTATTCTGGTATCATCAGGCTGACTTTAGTTGTTTCAGTATATGTTATTAAGCTTAGATGATATATCAAACCTGCAACACTCGTAATTTGTGAAGGGACTTTGTAAAATATAGTATTTCGAACATTTATAATTGTTTTAATTGTAACAGATATTTATTGTTGATATGTGATTTTCATTTTTGTATTAAACCCCTAACATGACATATTGACAAGGAACCATTTTATCTTTCAAGACTACCCTTTCACACCCACCCCTCAGGAAAAGAAAAGTAAAAATATAAATTTTAAAACCTCTATGTATTTTTCAGGAATCCATCAATTCCTCCTATTTCACAAGCTAGTCAGTCACCCTGTTAGAAAAATAAATCTGTTTGACTGAAGCCTAACTTGTATTTTTCCTAATCATGTGTCTTGTTTTATTGTACAATAAACTTAGAGCAGAAAAAAGGAAAACTTAGAAATGTGTAATGATAAAAATCAAAAGGTGAATTTTTATTATGCATGATTAGTAGCAAGACTTCATACTTTATTTTGATAAACTTAGTGATAATCAGGAATGTCGAGAACCAGCACGGGCCCTGGGGCAAACATCCTCGCCGGGTCCCCTTTCTCTCTCTCTTTTTTAAAATTTTCAAGAATTTATTAAAAAGAAGATCCTAAATTAGGACAGCAACGAGCTCATAAACCAGACAAAATCATAGCAGCAGCCGTTTTTACCTCACAGTACAAGCATGAAAATGTTAATAAAGTAACAACAAATATCTATTAAATCTATAAAGTAACAAATACATGTTAATTATTATTCAAATTATTATTTCAGTTGTTCTTAATGTATCAAGTGTCTACATGCAAAGAAAAGCCAAAAACTATGGTTTTTATCATTAAATGAAGATATAGCCTGAAGATGCTTTGTGGGCTTAACGGCATGACCAGGTTTCATTCGGTGGGCCTGGTGATAATGAATATGCCATATCTGTTTTGTGTGTAGCTATATGTACTGTACATATTAGAGAATACTTAGAAGTTACTAGTTTCTAAATTAAGAAGTTACATAATGATTTTTGTTGCTCCTGCTCTAAAAATTCTCATAATGCATCATTTGAATATCAGAATGAAACTGGAATTGTGACTGAAGATTGTTTGGGTGATTCAGTTTATTTTCTGAAACTATAAAGATATACATACACATATATGGAATTACAATAAATTAATGATACTTGTCTGTGATACATAAAAAAGTTTTTGTTATCAAAATAGACAAACTCACTGAATAATTCAGAAGCTTTCTCTCCACCTTTATTAAGGTTGAATTTCCATAAACAATATCTTATGCACCTAAACATAGAAGTTAATATATATATAGTAGAGACAGCTGATATGGTTATTAAAAGTTTTATTTAAAACAAAACAAGTAACAATGTTTCAACCTCATTAGGTCATCATCATGTTAGGATGATGATCTGAGGAGGTCAAAACATTGTTATTTATTTTGTGTTTTAAATAAATGTATTTAATATCCACATCAGCCTCCTCTACTACATATATATTTACTTCAAGTAGGTTTCTTGTCATCATGAGATATTAGAAGTCAGAACTTTGCTCTTAATTTCTGGTTTATTTAAAAAAATATAATAGAACATCATACAAATACATTTGTGAGAGAGAATTTCTGAAGTGGTTTTTCTGTTTCTTGTATAGATAAATGATTTACAGAGTAACATCTACAACTTCTCACGTATTATTGATGCTATTTTAGTATGCAGAATGGAAAGAGTGACCCCACTGATCCTGGTTTTCCACAGCAACTGGCTTTTCCACCACATTCATCACAAGTCCGACTGGAGACGTCTGTATCTAAAGTGTACTTGAGCAATGGAAGCTTTATTGTCATCAATCTAGCAGAGGCCTCAAATGTAAAAGTAAGTAATTATTTTATTTTCAAATTTGCTGATAAGAAGATAAATGTTTAGGAACAATTTCTTCTGAAGAAAAGTAGAATTACAACTAGTTGATTTAGGTCCTGTACTTCATTTAAAATACTTAAATTTACGTGTATGTTAATTCTTTCCAAATTTTACATTTTTCTCTGTGTGTTTGTGCTTTAATTTTGAATAATTTGGCATGTGGCATAACATTTGATGAATGAAAATGTCTTACTGTACATATAAGAGTGTGTGTGCGTGAACGAACTCTGACTTTTTAAGAAATAACTTTATACAAAGTTGTGGAAATTTGTATGAAACAGTGAACTGACATAGATCTCTCCTAACCATAGAAAAATATTGCTTAAGTAAAATCATTGTTTTTTTTCAAAGAAAAAAAAATGTATAGTCCTAAACTTGTACAAGGACTTCTAGCATGATGATAATAGACTTCCAATTTCCTATTTTTTGTTTCATCCTGGATTTCTTTGTCTGCTGTTTCTACTGTAGATCAAAAAATATTTTATTTTTGTTAAAACTCCTAAAAACTTAATATGACACTGTTTTCTTGTACAGAAATTAGTAATTCTGTGAAACTTGAGATACCATTTGAGTGTCCTTTAACTCTTCCCCGGGAATAATAGTAATATTGGCACTATACAATTGCTTAATTTTCACCTTTATAATATCTAATTTTAGTTCAATAGACATAAGATCTACATTAAAGTTCCATATCAAAATAAAGTTGTTAGTTTATTGAATTCCATGATCTAAAAATCTGTTTCATTCATGTTTAAGATTTTACCAGTAGAATTTTAAATTCTGACTGCTTAGCATATTAAGATGCTTGATTTTACACTGACCACTAGTTTTCTGATCAAATAGTATAGCTTAAGCTTCTAATGAAGTTCTTTTTCAAAATTTTTGTCCCAAAAAGTGTGTAGTTAACAAACTTAGTTTAGAGAGAAGTTAAATGTTTTTGATTCTGAGCTAAGTTATAATGTTTCTATATTTCATAATAGATATCTCGGAGAGTTTAAATTTTGTTTTTTATGAGTGGGATCATTTGTGTTGTTTATACTACCTTTTTAGAATTTTTTAATAAAACAAAAGGATGCTTTACAAATCACATAAATGATTATAGGATAAAGTTGTTCTTTATTTTCCAAGAATTACTTAAAATTTGTTGTGTTAGGAGATTATCAGTCGTGTTACTGAGAGATTAGCAGATGGCCCACGACCATTTGAAGTTGTCTACGGGTTAAGGTTAAGATGCAAGACAACAGGGGAATGTTTGTGGCTTCATACTGATACTCCTACATCTCAGGTGGTGAGAACATACCAGTCATATCTATCAACCGATGACTGGAGGTAATATTTGTGTCTTTTTATGTTATTTTACATCATATTTATTATTTTAGGAAAGTACATTAAAGTTTAAAATGAAAAATAAATATATCATAACTCTCATTCATGATGAAAGAATCACCAAAAAAAAAGAAATCAAGTAGATTTCGAAAGATCCAGAAACTCAAGAAGAAATACAAAAACAAACTGACCAATCTTTGTTGATAAAGGATGTGTCATTAGGAAATGTTGGGGTCACTTGTTTAGTTCAAAGTAAAAAAACTGTTGAGTAGTATGTGAAGGTAAATATAATTATTTACTTATGCTAGAGAATGATTAACATCATCTTACATGATACAACTATAAGTACATATATGTAATGATAATACTAACCATTCTCTGATATAATCTCTAATGGCCACCTTGAAAACCACTTTTTTTGCTCATATGACATGTACATCTTTTTCATATTCATAATCCCACACTCTTCAGCCTTTCCACTTTTGATTCCTGAAGAAAAATACTCGACTATTCAAAAGTGCTCAGAATTTCTAAGTCTTTTGAAAGCTGCAGTAAATCTCATGGTATTCAAAAATATATATATGATGATTCAAAGAAAGTAAAAGATAGTAATGAAGAATCAAATAGTAGAATATTAAAACTTTTTACTGCTAAAAATTTCATGTAGAATTTAATTCTAGGTATTTTGAAAGATTTGGTAGAGTTAAGCTTGCTTCATTATCACATGCCCCAAAAGAGTATACTTAGTACAAAAATAAATAGGTTTCAAATGATATCATATATTACAAATTAAATTAGATGCAGAGTAACAATTATTTTTAGATACTTCATGCTACAGTAATAACTGGAATAATTTATAACGTTTTTCACTTAAAAGTTAGGTGAAATATATATATATTTATATACACATCACATATGCAGCTACATAATATTTTAAAATAGCTAAATAATATTCTTTCAGAAATGTAACAAGATATAGAGAGAAATAGTTGTGTTTCAAAACAATTAATGTCACACTTTTCTTAGTCATATTCAAATATTTTTACTATCCTTAGAACTATTATTGTGAAATTGAACTTGTTAAGTGCAACAAGTAAAAATAAACTCCTTTGGATACAGTATATATCTGTTACTTTTTCTTAGCAATCTGTTCTTTTTTGAGTTAAATCAAATGTTTTTTCCAGGTACGAATTACGTGTTCGCTATCTACCAAATGACTTAAGAGATCTATTGGAGAAAGACAGAGTAACGTTTCGCTATTTTTATGAACAAGTAAGAAATCATAATGTGTTTCTTAGCTTCACTGATATTTTTACAGTATTGCAAATAATTATGGAAACAGTAATAAAAAGCATAAAAGACAAATACTATGATAATGCTATTGAATCAGAAAGTGTCCTACCAGTATAAAGCCTATAAAAGTACAGGTAGTCACTAAACCTAGTGTTAGTGTGAATATTGTCATGGCTCCCATGACTGAAATACTGCAAGTGTGTAGAAATCAAAGGTTTGGCTAGTTAAGGACACTTCACATGAAAATCACTGGCAAGACTTTCATACTTCAGGAGAAGTTGTGTGTAAGACTGAAAAGGATATGGTAAACTGGTGCTATTAATCATAGAAGTGGTTGAAGTAGAAAACCAACAGTGTCAGTGATCTACATAAAATTGATTGTATCGTGACTACAGACAGGGACAGCCATATTCTGATTTGTCATGACATTCCCTCAGAAACATTATTCATTGGGTAAGGATTCCAGCAAGATAGTGATCCCAAACATACATATAATGTGGTGAAACTATCTTGACAGTAAAGAGGCTGATGGAACACTCACAAGCATGGATTGGCCTATACAAAATCCAGGTATGAGCATTCTTGAGGTTGTATAGGCTAATGTAAAAAATGAGATAGTCAAAACCAACCAAACAACTTCGTAGAACTGTTGGAGAGAAATATAGGACATTTGGAACAATATTCCACAGTTGTACATTGATAAACTGTACATTGGTATAATAACAT